TAATCAAAAAACATGAAACGAAATGACATATAAATTGAACACTGTAGAGAATCTGTGGTGTGTGTTTACGGTACAGAACGTAAAACCTGTCACACAAATGTGCGTCAGATGATAAAAGCACTACAACGATCGTATTGTCATTTTTATCAACACGAGTGCGGAGGAAAAAAAAACAAGTTTCGTCTAATGGCGTAAATGTAGGAATGTTGCAGGAGACAAACATACCACTAGCATTACAGCCCGGGCCGGCCCAGGAAAATACTAGTTGGTGACGAAACGTATTATTATACGCAATACGTGAAACCAAATGTGTTGAAACCAAAGCTGTGAACAATATATGTTAATTATAATTAGATAATTTGCAAATTAATTTCATCCTTTTTATTAATAAGCAAAATCCAAAAATCTTCTGAGTGGATTTTGATCAAATTTAGTACATAGGTGCATTAGGGTAATACACATACATCTTTAGTTTTGGGGTCATTTCCATATTAAAGCAGTAATTTGCATATTAATTATCTCATATCCGACCTGAACAAACAAACCAATTTCTAATACATCTTCAATACCATGAAGATATGTACACTTCAATAACAAAACAAAAATAAATTACATGTGAGCGTTAAATATTTATAAATGTTGATTATTGTAATTGTAGAAAAACATCAGAGAATATGTAAAATAAATTCGAATATTAATTAATAATGAACGTTTTTACAATATTGATCACCAGATATCAGGAAGAACAATACATTACAGAAATTATATAGTCATAGTTAATTAATTGGACGAGAACTGGTCAATGATACACTCTAATCTCTGCTATTATATATGCTACAATTTAAATGTTTTCGCTTCCCTAATTTAAAGTTATGCACTGGGGACTACTATGTTGTACTAGTTGTTACAGATTTTGTCGTGATAGCTTCGCCTATGAATGCTACACTACACACTGTCTGTCACGATGTATGTCGATTTTTGTCAATGTAAAAGTATTTGTTATGCAAGGCTACGCGCGTGTATGCTAGACTACACTCCATCTATCACAATGTGTATCGATTTTAACCGTTGTTATAGTATTTGCTTTGTAAGGTTACGCCCATGCACGACACACTACACACTATCTACCACAATGTATATCGATTTTTACCGTTGTTATAGTATTTGTTATGCAAGGCCACGCCCATACATGCTACACTGCACACTACCTACAACAATGTATATCAATTTTTACCGTTGTTATAGTATTTGCTTTGTAAGGTTACGCCCATGCACGATACACTACACAATATCTACAACAATGTATATCGATTTTTACCGTTGTTATAGTATTTGTTATGCAAGGCCACGCCCATGCACATACACTACACAATATCTACCACAATGTATATCGATTTTTACCGTTGTTACACGTGTCACATAGAATCAGGTTAGTCTCTTTAGTCTCGATGTCATCTTCTGCATAAAGTTCTACAATTATCTGTCGTTAGTCTCGATCTGAATTGTATTTGATGTCATTATCTGCATAAAATTATACAATTATCACCTATCTGTCGCTAGTCTTGATCTCAATTGTATTCGATGTTATTTTCTGCATAAAATTCTACAATTTTCACCCATCTGCTGTTAATCTCAATCTCAATTTAGAAATACTGCACTTGCTGAAACAATAGTATTATACCAGTTTGGATCATGATGTGTTTTAAATTATCGCTGATATTTTTTGACGGCGCTGACTGGTTTTCAATTCCACGTCATCATGTGTACACTAAATTAAGTTTTGCAAATCGTCTACTGTTTCTTGACAACTGAAATATGGGTTACATAAAGTATTTATCAATGTGTGTGTATTGTTAATGACTAGAGATCGCCTGGGTGGACATCAAAGAGCCGGCTACTACTAACACAATTTCTCATTGTGTGTCACATTGCTAGACGTTTTTGTTCTCCTTCAGCTTTCCTCTGACATGATGCAAGTTGTAATACCCGACAGTTAAATTTATATCGTTTTTGTCATAAAAAAACTACAATAATGGGACCTTTTTTTGTAGATCACTGCCGCAGCGGCACTCGATGTTTAATTACAAATTTGTCGCACAGATTACGCATTGATATGCTTTGTACATACAATTGATTCTAGGCAACCAGTGATGTTGAATGCACCCAGGTTCAAGAGAATTGTTATGTCTGCTCTTTATCTGAAAACAATGTGCCGAATGAGAGCTACTGTCCTACAGGGAGCGTGATGGTAAACCGTATATATCCAACCAACTATACTAATACAACCACTTATGCGCCAGAAGAGGTGATCTGTTGCCCGTATGTACAAATTTCTAAGCATATACCACATATTAGTACAATCAACACTTTGGAGTTTAACAGTCTCAGCCACCAAGTATCACTTGAAAAATATTGCCATAAGAATATATTTCTCTGATATTCATTTTTCTGGTGCACCAAACTCAAGGATTGAAATAAATCATTGCATTGTATTAGTACTTTTTCTTTGAACAGGGACAACGATGACACCTTGTATCATATACTGCTACCTTGTTTGTTTGTGACTGGCTTGCTTTTGGGAATGCTGGTCTGTTATCTTCTGTACATCAAACGAGTGACCATCCTCCCAAAACTGATGTATATTTGTGTAAGTGAAGATTGATTATATTATATGTATTTTTGTATAACTGGATTCTGTTATTGGTAGATTTGTAAAGTATTTTCTAAATATATGTTTGAGATACGTTTCTTGTACGTACTTATGATGTAAATCTTTTTTGTTTTAGTGTCCATGCATAAATCGTAAATATGTTCTTTCGGAGATTAGCATGCTAGAAGTGGTGAGTAATACACAAGTTTCGGGTTCTGGCGTTACCTTAAAAACTCAACCGGGGTAAAAATTGTTAAATTTTCTCAGCGTAGAGGGGGTGATTTCGCTTCTGAAATATTTGATAGCTCATCAGAGTGACGGCAATCAGACAAAATCAACAAAGAAATCACACAAGGTAGAAATCACCCCCTCATTCTAACACAGAAACTGACTGGTGGCGCTAAAACTCGTTTAAGCGGAAGGGTCGTCACCTGCGCACGCGCGGGAATTGGGTCCCAAGCGACGATAACAATGCCTGCTAAAACGCAAAGGCTCATGGGTAGACGCTTGTGTGTAAACAATGACACGCTACGGTTCACAAGGCCGTGTGGCATTATGCAACTTTTATTGAAAATTACACAAAAGATTCTTGTTACAACTACATGTATAGTTATTGAGGGAGGTTGTTGTAATAGTTGTAATAGTACAAATACTCTGCTTTTCTGATCTGTTTCTTCTACTATTACAGCCCGAAGAACAGCAAATAGAGAGGCCTGAGAGGGTTGAGCTTGTCAGTGGTGCCTGTTACGACAATACGCTATTTGATGTCACAGACGAACGAAAACGTTTACCAACCTGTACGAGACAACGTGTTGATGTATTTACCATTTCCACAGATTCTGATGCAGTAGCAGAAGCTTTTACTGAAGGATTTGGTCTACCTGTGGAAGAGGAAGATGAAACACCTATTCCACCTATTGATCATGCACCCCCATCTGATGTCAACGAACTGGACGAGTTGATTGGCATTGCAGAAGACATGGCTGAAACGGCACACAGCAAAAACATGTGGAAGAACTTCAATTTTACAAATACAAGATTTGCTGCGGGCCTATTCGACAAGGAAGGCGGCCAACTGAGTCTAGTGGAGATGGGGATAAATCTGTTTATACCACCAGGTGCAATCGATGATAAAGATGCCCCTGCAATGATTTATATATATGTCAATAAAGGACAACATAGCATAGTTCCACCATCCCCAAACCAACTGGTTGTCAGTCCAACGGTATACTGTGGACCACCAGGAGCGACTTTTGGAGAGCGTGTGGTACTGTCATATCAACACTGTGCTGCCAGTAATGGATCAAATGTAATTGCTCTTTGTACCAAAACAGAGGTTGGCGTGGAAGAAGATTTTCGAAATATTTCCGAGGATGGGTCCTGTTTCAGGATTATGAAAGAAAATAAATGTTTCCTGTTTGTAGATCATTTCACAGGTTTTACAACCATCGTCGAAGGGGGAAGTGCTAAGAAAATAATGGATGTGGTTTGTTACACTGAGAGTCTTGTCCCTGCGACAGAAAAATTTCCGATTCGGTTGTACTGTGTGAATCAAACAGCTGATGCGAAACAGGTAACATACATTCTTTATTAGTATACATCAGTATATACAACACAAGCAGGCTTTGTTTTTGTGTTTATATCTACAATGTTTGTGCTGTAGTATAGTATAGATACAAAGAACATACATAAGAATCTCACTGAATCATCAAACAGTAAAAAACTGTCCATCTCATCAGAAGTAAACTGTCTGACACGACTTGCACGTTGCTCGAATGTATTTGGAGTCGTTTACCTCTTCTACATTGTGGTTCAAGTCCCATGTTATATTGGAATTCATACTTATTTGTGTTTTATTCTGACACTTAAAGCGGAAGAGTCGTCACCTGCGCATGCGTCTGGTGCCCATAGCGTGTCAATGTTTACAAACAAGCGCCTACCCATGAGCCTTTGCGTTTTAAGCGCGTGTTGTTATAGTCGCTTGGGACTCAATTCCCGCGCGTGCGCAGGTGACGACCCTCCCGCTTTAACATTACTCGAATATGCAACAGCCAAAAATGTTCACATGCACATATTAATAACTACAAAATTGAAAAAAGAAAATACATTTTCACTTTCTTTTGTAGATTGTTCGTGAACAGGAATTTGATCTTGGCGGGAAACAAACAGGACTTGCACAGCAGATAATGATAGACTCCCAGAATCAAGAGGACTTGGAATTTGCAGTAAAACGAATAATGCCTGACTCTTGGAAAGTGAATAAAATCCTTGAACGAGTAAGTTTTTTTTGTGTTTTTTTCATTTTAGTCGCACAATGTCAGAATTGTAATGTACAAGAGAGTGAAAATGTGTTCACATGATTCTAGTCTCATAGAATTGACAGAGTGTATTTAAAATTAAAGCAGGGGTCCAAGCAAGAGTCATGTTGTATATAGCAAGTAACTATTTAAGGTAGAGATGCAGGTTCGTGGGCATTTTTCGTGAATTTTTTTTTTCCTTTTTCTCATCCAGACAGTCTTGGCTAGATAGTGTTAAAATTTCGGAGCATTGTCATTGTTGGAACATACTCAAAAATCAATTTTAAAATATAGGAAACCGAGGCACGCGTATATGATTAAAAGTCCCGAAAGTTTGTTTGCGTTGCTCTTTGATTGACAAGTCACTGTTGATGTTATATGCAAATGATTGCTGGCCCCACTTACGGAGCAGCCGGTGTGCGACTTCCTGTCCTGGCTCTCTGTTTACTTACCTCAAGCGCGATCAACTAGCAAACTACAAAAAACAGACAAGACGTAGACGCTTCCAGCATGCAAGCGGAATGAAACAAAACATACACTTGTAACTGATAAGTAAACTTTTCACCCTTAAATAAATTGTTTTTTTTCATTTATTTTCATGTAGGAGGTAGCGTCGATAGGGCGATTTAATTTTCGCGCAAAACAAGGCCACAATTTTTCTTCTTTTCTTGGTGCATAGATTTCAAGCTTTTTCGCATTGTGGGCGAAACTAAAAAAATGTTTCCACAAACATTTTTCGTTTCGATGTAACACTGTGCTGATATCGTGCTGATAGAATTGTGATGCAATTGACAAACAACACTGCTGTTGCTGTCATCGATAACTAACTTTTCAGTGCCAAAATACACAAACAAAATGCTCGGTTAATTAAAAATAAAAAAATACCCTGGAAATTACCGAAAAATGCGTCATTTAAAGTATTTTTTAAAGGTTTGAGGGAAGGTAAATTTAGACTCAACCCACCCAATGGCGATCGCTATGTTTATATAACTGTATGAATAAGTCATCGGCTTTACGTAATCCATTGTGTCCCTCCCTCAGTGGAATTGATAACACGACGCCGTGACAGTTTTCACGCTAGGTTGAGACTTCGCGGACGATTTTTTGTCCGTTTCCCTCGAATTGTAAATGTTTTTATTTTATTTTTTTACCTGACGATTTAACATCGGCAAATTACGGTGTATGGTGTATTTCTAGGTGTTTCTGTTACACATATGAAGCGAATGATTCGTTTTAAAACTTTTTTTTTACAAAATGGCGATTATCTCAGTTTCATTTTTTACTCCAAATTTCAACTTTAAAACTATTTAACTTCTAGACGGTTTATTTGTTTTCGATGAAACTTTCAGGGGTCATTATTCAGGTCTATCCTAAGTAAATGGCTTCGTATGGTTTCACTGTCTTTACTGGAACAGAAACAATAGAGCTGCCATTAAGGCATGGTAATGATTGCTAGGAAATATATGTGTTTGCCATAATTAACCTATACTTCATACATATTTCATGTTTGTAAAACAATCGCATGTTGAAGCATTGAGTATTTTGTGATTCGTTTATATATACTACAAACTATACTACACTATATATATACGCCAAGCTCTCTAATGCCTCTCATCCATTTCGCATAAAGTGCGTTTTCATTCATCTAGGGTTGGCAGGACGTTCATGATTGTTCAGTTATATTATATTATTATACATAATGCAATTAATTATAGTTTCTGTTCCCACTTTTTTGTAACGCAAATGTCCAACGAGCCACCTTTAAAGCCATGTAGCCACGCCCGATTCCAACCACAATGGAAAGTAAGAATTGGGGATTTCCCTATTATTGACACATATGGGCATGCGCTGTTTATTTGTTCGAATCGCCGCTCTGAAATAACTGCAAAGTTGAAGCAAAGTTTTGCCACATGTTTTGAATTTTGAAAACGTATTCGATTTGTCGGCAATTAAATCGACTTACTTTTTTACTTCATTTTAATTTTAATGTGTGGTTATGGTTGTGTTATGTTCAGGTGCTCTTAACCATTTGTTAAACATGATGTTTTAACTGATTTTGTAAGAAAAATACATGATCTTTTTTATTTGATTTAACATGTGCAACAAATAGACTAATTAGTTGTGTACGATATATCTTTATTTCTGGGAGTTGCCACCTTGTCATTTCCTAACAGGGATATGTTTTGTATGGTTGATAGATTCAATTCCCAAATACTACCAAGCAATTCTGGGATGCATATCGCAACGCAAATATATGGCAGATGCCGCAGCGTGTGAGATGTGCTCACACTTTCTAAAACACCTCGTACTGCGTTGTGTTGGTCCCTTATGTTTTTCTGGAATTGTTAGTTTCCATGTGAATTCTGATTTAGTCATAGTTTGCTTAGTGACGCAAAGTATTGAGTATTGGCATTCATTGGTTTATAATTGACACAGTTACAAACAACTGTACGAGGAATAAGACATTGAAAATTGATATATATATACGATATATCATATACCAATATTGCTACAAGAAAAATCTAAATGCTTAGACACTCTAAAGGGGTTCATCTTCAATCCAAGATGGCAGCCAGCCGAAATTCGGATAGTTAAGTGCTACAGTTTACAGTAGGACCCAGCTGGTAGATCCACTGCAATAAATGATACCATTCCGTTCAGCTGTTATATTAAACAAGCTCACAAGCTGGGTAAACGAAAAGTGACTTGGATTATTTTTTTCATTTTAACATTTATTCATGTTACAGATACAGAATGACATTTTGAAGTATGGTAATTATGGATCAACTCGCTACTGCGCGACTCGACAACATCCTGTGCAGTGCAGGGTTTTGAAGGTGAAATCGATTTTTTTCAACGAGCTAATGATGGATGCGATGAAACCCATCCAAAGTCTTTAAATATTACAGTTATTGAAAAAAGGGTTAGTATTGGAATCTATGATTCAGAATATAAAGAACCTGTTCCTACGCTTTTGTTGTGAATTTTATAGAGTGTTTTATTTGTTTTGTTGTCACAGGAATCTGTTGAGGTTGTTGTAGAAAAGGCTATTTTAAATTCTAAAACCAGAGGCCCACAACGCATGAATTATGAACACCGGTTGAAGATCAGCCAACTACTTGATGTTGACTCACCAGATGGAAATGATTGGAGAATGTTTGCAAGCAAGTTGGATTTAGATTGGAGCTTTATTAAAGAAATTGAAACATTATACAGACAGAATGTCATACGCAGCCCAACTTTTCAATTGTTAAATATTTGGGAAATGGAGAACAGTGACCTAACGCCAACGCGTCAGCTTGAAGAACTGTCAAACTTGTTTTCAGCAATTGAACGTAAAGATGTAGTTCGTGTAATGTATCCAACACCAAATGGAAGTGGGACATAATTAACCACAGTTATGTCCGAAATGGTTTCGGAATTCTAAATATGTGTGCAATTTAGTTATAGCTTCAGCTATGTGTATTCTCGTTTTGCAACGCCTAGTTATAACTACTGAAAATATGTTGTTAAAGCGGGAGGGTCGTCACCTGCACATGCGCGGGTTCAAAGTTCAAAGCGACGATAACAACACACGCTATAAATGCAAAGGCGACTACCCCGCTTTAACGCGAATTCACAAGATAAGAGAATCACTTCATGGTTATGACTACATTACATTGAATGAACGTAAATTACACTCAAAAGTGTCATGTGTTGAACAATAGATGCTTAACATAAATATGTAATTACAAACAAAAGTATGCAATGGTTTTTGAACATGTAGGACGGGAATCACCAATCGAATATAGCTGTATGTTTAGTCTGACAGAAAGTGGGGATTTCTATGCATAGAACAATGATGAATAGAAATTAAAATAGACAAATGAATAACAGTCGAGTATAAAGTGTGAAAAAACGTTATAGCACAATACCTGGTCTTAAGGACGAGATGCACTTTTTGACTCCCATGTGCGATTACCCTGTCTGTCTGCGGTGAGCCTGTTTGTATGCATGTATGTATTATTAACCTCTCGTTATATTTCAATGAAACTTGGTACATGGATGCTCTAAAACAATGCGCAGATCTTCCCAGTTTTACATTAAAATATGCGCATCTTAATTACCTGATTTGCATGATAATTAGCTTTTGACCTTTCCATCAGTATCTTAAGTACTTACTCAATGATATTTCGTACATAAATACACTAAGACAGTTCAACGATCTAACTAATTTTATGTACATCTATAATAATTACCCCGAATTGTATACAGGCCTAATTAGTTTTGGGTTGAACTCTGTGATTAATTTGCATAATAGGTACCTATATCCCCCCCCCCCCAAATATAAAGGCCATCGGAGCAATGCTAAAAACCTGATTAGTTTTGGATTGAAATTCAAGCTTACTAATTGCCTAATGTGCATTTTATTCATAATTCATTGAAATTTGGTTCATAGATGCTCTGGAGGTAATCCACAGACGTGATTAGTATAATGTTGAAAAGCATGCATGTTGATTATTTAATTATTATTACTGAAGTTTGTCGTTGTGTTTGTATTCTAAGTACCAGATATCATGGAAGGTACTCCGTTAGTACCTTCCATGCAGATATACTGTAAAATAACTAATTTTCACTGGGTTTAAATTTCTCTGATTTACCATTTCAGGCATATTCAGTGGGTTTTAAATTCACGGTTTTATCATTTAGATAATGTGTTCTATACTAAATTTTACATATTCACTGGGTTTCAATTTAGCGCATTTTGCCAGTCAGCGAAATAAGCAAAATTAAAACCCAGTGAATAATTAACCCATTTACAGTATACACAAGCCAACACAGTTCGGCAGCACCGGGGCGGCCGCCTGAGAAAAATGTTCGGGGCGTCGCCCCCCCCCCCACCCAAACAAAACTTGGTTCAGTAAGTTTTTCCTGGAAATGTCATTAAACTCAGCTATGTATGTCAGCAATAGTTGCCCCTCAAAATGCAGGGAATAACGTTTCAGAGGGTATAGATTTCAATTTTTCCGGAGGACGAAGCCCCGACCCCCAAGTAAGGTATCGCCTTCGGTGCAACCACGAATGCCTTCGTCGCGAGGGATGGTTAACAGATCTCGCCCCATGCATATTTTCGTGCCACCGTCTCTGTTGGTCGTTTCTCGTTAGTCGTTCTTTCTACGAGTTCGATTTTAAAGATTTTTTTGCCTTATAAGATAAGGATTTTTGAAACTGGGTCTCGGAATTTTTATGTGTTTTTATAGGTCTGGAGATATAGTCCGTCGAACTTTATTGACTATCTTTCGTTCATGATCTTATGGCCAGAACCCCAAATCCATGGCTCGCTGGAACATTAATTACTACATTTTTAGCCCATTTCGCGATGAATAGAAGGTGTAATTTGTGCACCGTTGGCGTAAAAGGAAGTGTTGAAAGCACTCTCCCCCGCACTCTCCACGCAAGAGGGCGCTTCTACAAATCACCACATTCTCCTTCCCAGAGTTCCTTGCGAAAGTATCTCTGCCACCACACACCGCCATCGAAAATTGAACACTTGCATGGCAATGTTTTGTTAAAGCGCGGTGGTCGTCGCGCAGCGCGTGTTCGAATTTCACGTAAATAAACAATGTATTTTACACGCGTTGTGTACGTCGCTATGAGTCCCATATCGAACAAGACGCGGCACGACGACTGCCGCCCTTTAAGCGGCTTGGAAAGTAGTACCACTGTGACGCATTAACCAATCAACGACAAGCATAAGATCGCGTGGTGGCA